CAGTCCAGGGGCCTTTCTGGGTGGAGTTTGCATGTTCTCTCCGTGCATGCGTGGGTTTTCTCCGGGTACTCCGGTTTCCTCCCAAAGACCAAAAACATGCATGTTAGGCTGAATGGTAACTCTAAATTGTCCCTAGGTGTGAATGAGAGAGTGAATGGTTGTTTGTCTCGTTTGTCTCTATGTGGCCCTGTGATGGACTTGCGACCCGTCCAGGGTGTACCCCGCCCCTCGCACAGTGATTGATGGACATGGGCACCAGCGACCCCCGTGACTCAAAATGGAATAAGCGGGTAAAGATAATGGATGGATGGATGGATGACTTTGGCCCTATTCACACATGATTAGTTTTACCTAGGGACCACATGTAATAAATACATTACTCCCCAACGTCTGCTTTCTATGTGGCACATTCACACGGGATTACCAAAGCCTGAGATTTAGCTGAAATTTATGGACATCTTCCGGATATGAGGTTAACGCACTGCGTATTGCGTAACATCCGCTAACTAACATCCGACTGTTTCAAGTCGATAGGCTTTTGCTGGTCCGGGACACAAAAGGTTAGAGGTGTAGATGCACTCCAATGCAGCCTCCATCGCCCAAAAGCAAAAAAAAAATGTGCCCAGGAAACAAAAGACACCTATCTACGTATCAGATCCAGCCCATTTCTGTTCAAATCACATTGATGCCTATTCACATTGAATTAGTATTATCACAGGACCACAGAGTTCAGCAAAATATAGCAGGTAATTTGTGGGGGAATTTTTACTTTACAAATTACATGGCCGATTTGCACGGGATTAACAACACAGACAATCTGTAATTATTACAAAAAGCATGTGGTCTCTAGGTAAAACTAATCCCATGCAAATAGGGCTTATGTCACACCTGATTTGTAGCACATCTTTGTGAACACCTGTTCAAAGCGACAGAATTGTGAGGTAAATAATTTATCCACTTGGGGCTCACAGTTTGTCCCACGTAATCGCCTTCATTTTTAACCCCAAATGTTTTTTTTCTAAACTGACAAGATGTGAACGTTTTCGCGTTAAACATTTTATGTGCAGGAACAAATGACTTATTAGACACTTTCCCATGGTAACAATTAATAATGACTCAAATATCTTTAACATTTTAGTAATAAATTGTGTTTAACATTTATTGTATGCTTCAAAGCAGCTTGCATCAGAAGAACAAACAAAGTCCACGTTTACTAAACAGATTTAATTAAAACTTAAAAACAGCCTGTCTAAATAAAGGCTGAATGATTTTTTTTTTTTAAATGAGAGTCATCTTGATAAAATTACACAACAAATAAGAACTAGTCTTTTGTAGTGGATGCTCTTTAACTTGGCAATATTTCACTCCATCGTCTGTCAAAAACATTAAAAACTTACTTGACCCTGTTAGCATTTCTCCCACAAAAACTGCATATCAGTTGTAAATGTTCACATATACCATTGCAGCCTTTTTAGTATTTACTACCACAGCTAAAAACGTCATTGATGCACGTCTTCAGCTTGTTTTTTGAAGTTGTGGGAAGCCTGTAATCTTCCAGCTCGTTAGCTGTGTGCGTGACAACAGGTACTCTTTGCTGTAAGACAGATGAAATCCTTGAAATCTCTGCTGTCAGTTACTTGAAAAAAAGTCCTAGTTTAGCATGAGCGTCAACCTTGGCTAATTTACTAATCAGCACATCTGCCACAGAGTTTCGTCAAGTTGCTGCAGGGTTCATTAGAACGAATGGCTCAGTCAGCAGAGCCAGAAACTTTTCTACAGGTTGGTGGGCTACGAGTTGTGCTTTTTACACAATTTATCCAACTATTCTAGACAAACAACGTCTGGATTTTCACTAGATTGGACCCTCTACCTGGTGCTGGTTACAAGTTTTTGACAGACAAAATCAACTTTTGTTCTGTCTCATTAGTTATTAAGTATTTAAACAATTTCCATATTACCAGAGTTTATGTCATTACATTTCTAACAGGAAAAGTACAATACTGTATTCAGTTTTTTGTTTGTATTTTTGTTTTTAGATATAAGCTTTAGTCTGCACCAGGGGTCTGCAACCTGCGGCTCTGGTACCACATGTGGCTCCCTCATCTGCAGCTCTGTCGAATAAGTCAGGAAGTCCGATAAGTCAAACCTGACTTATCGGACTTCCTGTTCAGTTTTTGTTGATCAGACTAAAAACACATCATTCCACATTTGGGCACATTATGCAGGACAGTATTCACCGAATCCACGAGTCCATAATAACTGTAGCTGATGTACAGAAAATATGTTTCTCCTCTTCCTTCAAAGCTTCATTTAAGGTACTCATTAATTTGTTGCAGCATTGTAGACAAATAAAGTAGAACTAGTGATGATGGTATAGTGGCTACGGTGGCCGTGAGGTGTAAATGAACAAAATTTGAAAAAACAGAATTACATTTGAAAAAACAGAATTACATTTCAAAAAACAGAATTACATTTCAAAAAAATGCAACCAAAACAATAAAAACACAACATTTGAAAAAACAGAATTACATTAAGCCAAAGTGGAAGTGGCCAGAATCACATTTGAAAAAAACGGAATTATATTAAAAAAATTAAAAATAAAACGGAATTACAAAGCGGAAGTGGCCGAAGCAGAAGTGGCTGGGATCACATTGGAAAACACTGAATTACATTTGGAAAAATGAAATTACTTCTGAAAAAAAAAAAAAAACGCAATTACATTTGAAAAAACAATTATATTTGAAAAAACACAATTACATTAAGCAAAACCGGAAGTGGTGTGTGTGGTGGGGGGGGTGGGGGGGTAACTTTATTAAGTTATTTATTTGTTACATTTATTTATTACTTTTTTTTTCTTATGTAATTTTGTTTTTTCAAGTGTAGTTCCATTTTTTTCAAATGTGATTCTGGATACTTCAGCTTTGGCTTAATGTAATTCCGTTTATATATATAATTTTGTTTTTTCAAATTAATTTCCATTTTTTTTCAAAAGTAATTCTGTTTTTTCAAATGTGTTTTTATTGTGTTTTTTGAAATGTAATTCTGTTTTATTGGAATGTTGTTCATTTACACCTCACGGACACCATACCTTAGAGTCACCATATGATGATCTTCAGTGTTACCTTTCCATTGTGATTTAGAGGGTTTGACCATGGATACAAGTTTAGGAGCTTGTTTTTTTATGAGTCTGCTTGTTGTAAGTTATAGTAGTGTCCAATCCACTGAAGTTATCAGATCTGTGTCCATCTTTATGTGGTGGCTATAATAAAACAATCAGTGCAGATATTTTAACAAACACAGTGGCCTTGGCTTGTTCAGCACACACATCATAAAAATAAATGAGATGTTGATTTGAAACACGTTTTATCATGCAGAATTTTCAAGCCTCTATTGAATAAAGTATAAACTACTTCTAGAACAATCTGGCTGACTACGCCTCATTAGTTGCTTTAATTCTGATGCTGCACAGCAGATGTTTCTTGTATTGTATGCTGCCTTTATAGGAAAATCTGTTTGTTCAAATTGTTTGTACTGTGCATGTCTGGTGTTTGTCTCCTGCAGATGTACATCCAAACAACCACACTAACCATCTCTGTGAGCCTGAGCGCATCAGTGATCCTTGGTTTGCTCTACATGCCCAAGGTCTACGTGATTCTCTTGCATCCTGAACAGAATGTGCCCAAGCGCACACGCAGCCTGAAGGCCGTGGTTACCGCAGCTACCATGTCCAACAAGTTCAACCCCAAGGCCGGACTCAGACCCAACGGAGAGGCCAAGACTGAACTCTGTGAAAGCCTCGAAACACAATGTAAGAACACAAATGCTAATCAGAAAGCCTTTAGCTAACCATTTTACAGGCTTTATTTTTATTCTTCAGAAATGTTTTGTCCATCAGTATGCAAATCAAACAAATTTGTGATATGATACAAAGCAGAGGAAAAAATGATTACTAGCTAATAGACTGTAGCGCACGGTTTAACACGTCACTGAATCTGGTAAATGCAACACTGATGTTCATTTAGTGTGGCAGATGAAGGTGTTTGAGGAAGACTTGCAAGATTTTTTTCAATCTTGTGTCTTTTGATGTTCTTAAAACTCTTTTTTTGGTTGTTGTTTTATTTAAACTGCAACACAAGAAATTCCACATTGTTCACATTAAAAGCACATTCCTCACCTTCTATCTGTTTACACGCATGCTTTAATGATGAGCTACCATCACATTTTGATTTGATTTCTGTCTGGCATGATACAAGCTTGACAATATGGGCAGAGGGAACTTAAAAGATTGAATGCCTACAATTTTTGAAGCTGGACAAACCAGTACTTCTCCATTTCAGCCTTAAGGAATGTTGGGAAACAATTACACTTTTCTTTCACCTAACAGCCCGTTTGTTCAGACGTTACCTTAGAAATAAGGCAGTTTACTGAAATTTGTTGTTGCATTGGCAAAGTATGTTATTTGGGTGTATGCAAAGGGTGTTACAGACTCAAGTACTTATAAACTGATTTAAAGTTAATCACTGCAAAATCATGTAGAAAGTTAAAAAAATAAATAAATAAATAAATAAAAAAATAATAATAATAATAATAATAATGAAAGAAACTTCAATGGTTGTTTCCTTAAATGAAAAAAGAGGCAATTTTTAAATGCTGCCGACATCTATGTTTACCAATGGAAATTGACGAAGTGAATGAAAACAGGTCAGCGAGCTTCATCTAAGAGTTGTTTGAGAAGTTCATCAGTGTTGATGTATTAGTATTTATTTACATTCAGATTTATTGAGAAAAGTATGCAGATAAAAAAATAGGTTAGATCAAAACAATAGACTTAGTGATCTAGAAGAGGTTTTGCAAAAGTGTGTGTTTAAATGATGAGCTGTATGGCACTCTAAAGAAATGATAAATAGACTGTACTTATATAGCACCTTTCTATCTAATCAAGCACTTTATAACACAATCTGTGCCCTCATTTACCTCCACACACACAATGATAAAGCACTCTACTACATCTCTACAAAAATAATCAGTCAAGAATGGGGATTTTGTATTCCAAACTCAGCCAGACAACGAGTATAAAAATAGAAAAACAATTTATTGATTTGCAGCTGCAGTTGGGAGTCAGGATCCAGAATGGATCAACTTGTCTTTACAGGCAGGTGGGGTGGGAGCCACCTGTTGGAGTTAGAAGAGATAACGTCACCGCAAGCGGAGGGAGAGCCAGTGCAAAGAAATATTTTAATGCTGTGAAGAGCTGGGTAATCCAGGGTCATGGTCCAAAAGACAATGCAGGGGTCAAGCACGGGGAGTCAGAGATCCAAAAACAAGTCCACAGGGTCAAACCAAAATCCAGAAATCCGTAGGCAGAAGAAGTGGTCGAAACCAGGGTCAGACGGGCAGAACACAATCAGAAGAGGAGCAGGCAGAGCGGAAAATCCTAATGACGAGGCGTGAGCTCAAACTCCGAAGAATAACACTTGAGGTCGAGAAAAGATGTCAGGCGTGAACAATATGGCTGGTTATCAGAAACCATGAAAGGTACGATAATCTGACAAAGTGGAGTGGTGAGAGGAATCCATAAATCTGGGTCAGAACAGGTGTGGTGAATCAAGGCTGATCAGCTGTGGGTGCAGCATGGCAGAGTGACAGAGAGGCAGAACATGACAAGGAGAGCTGTGAGTATGGCAGGGGACAGAGGATGTGATATAATCTGAACAAATCATTCTGAGACTAATCAGTGCTTAACATCACATTCATACACTGACGGGACACACGTCAGAGACAATGAGGGGTTCAGTGTCTTGCCCATGGACACTTCAACATGTGACTGCATAGTGGTGGAATCGAACTCCCAACTCTCCCACTGGAGGATGACTGCTCTAACCACTCAGCCACAGCTGCTCAGCTTGATATAAATCATTTATTCTTGAATGTTTGCTCACACCTTCTTTCCCCTTTCTTTGCATTTGGCAGAAGATTCACATTTATTTTCCACCTAAATTCTTCTCCAAGATTCTAGACTTGTCAAATTCCATCATATTTGTTTACTTACTCAGACTATGGCCAGTCTGATGTAGGTCAATCACCACTCTCAAGATTCGATGTGGTTTTTACAGACTCCGTTGAGTGCTTTGTTTACATTTAGTTTCAACCCACATTTAAGAATTGCATATCAGTATATCTCAAGTCTACTGGATTTAACTCTTAAGTTGCAATATTTGATATAGTTAAGGATAACTTTTTTATGTTTAATTTCAAACTTTGCTTCAAGTACCTTTAATATTTAAGTATTTATCATAAAACGTGTATGATCTGCAAGTTGCTAGCATGGAATCTGTACCAACACCCAGCAGTCATTATCTAGTAATGCAGTTGTGGTACACTTGATTTATCTTGTTTATTTTTGACTAAACATTGTTTTTAGGAATTCAGTTTAATAAAGGTTGACTTTGCAAATTTTTTTTGTATTCAAACACAGTTTATAATATTGATTTATATGAGAAAACAAGTAGAGGTTGAGCCCTATTTAGAAACAACAAATGCCCGCAAAGCATTTTATCAGCAACCTTATTGGAAGCTTTTCAAAAACAAATATATAGAAATATTTCATTAAATTAGGATCAATCTTAGTGTTTGTCTCTTCCTGTACAGAATAAGGATGCTGGAGAGTATCTTGGTTTTACAGCAGGGTTTGTCTCTCCCTGTGAATGCTGCTGGCTGTTGCTCTCATCCACTCCCATCTGCTTTCCAAGCGAGGCACAGTTTATCTTGTACAAGCCTTATTTCTTGTCCGGAGGCAGTAACCTTTTGAACTCGGCTCTAGTTGTTTTACAACACTTCCCACCCGCAGGTACTCGGTCACATTCAGTATACTGTAGTAACAACCACCAAACCGAGAAAAAGGGATTATTGCACTGATTAAACACACAGACAAAGACGATCACTAAGGTTTAAATGTTTTGTTGTCCTTACGGAGGACTATTAAGCGTTTTACTCACAACATGCAAACTAAAAGATCATTCAGTGAAGTACCAACAATCTACTATAGCTAAGTTAATCAATTTTAACAAAAAGAGGTCTGAACATTCCTCACTGACCTGACCTGCTGACACCACACTGCTCAGTTTGGGTTTGAAGGTTCTGTCCTTGGGATGGAGGTCCTGTTGGGTTTAAAAATGTAGTTTTATAAAGTTTGAACTCCACACACTACAAACATTTTACTATTGACAAAGCATCCTGGATGGGAAGCCAAATGTCTTCAGCTTCAGTATAAAGCCCTTTTTTTTTTTTTTTTTTTTACCTTTTTTTTTTTAGATTGACAGATGAGTGATAGAATCACCACTGAAGCCAGAGTTTAAAAACTAAAAAAAAAATATATATATATAAAAGCTCCAGCATGGTGGAATGCATATTGCCATCCTTGTTTCATGCCAGAGTTTTTTAAACTAAGCATATTTCATGTCGCAAAAGGGGCCTTGTGATGGACTTACGACCTGTCCAGGGTGTACCCTGCCCCTCGCTCAGTGATTGCTGGACATGGGCACCGGCGACCCCCGTGACCCAAAATGGAATAAGCGGGTAAAGATAATGGATGGATGGATGGATGGATGGATGGATGGATGGATGGATGGATGGATGGATAAATACTTTCTAATGATGTTATAAGTATCATTATATATGTTGTTTGTTGTTGTGGTTTCTCAGTTTTGTAGCAGACTTCAATGATGTTGATTTGTGTTCTCTTTATCCCTCTCTCTCTCCTCTATTCCTATCTCCTTCTTTACATTTTAACTCTTCTCTCACTTTTCTGCTTTGTTATCTTCTTTGTTTTCCGTCCCCATGTCCATTATATCTGAAACAAACCCAAAGCATATTCTAATAAAATTGAATTTATATATCAAGTGGAGCATTAAGGCCAGCCATAATGCTCTGCTTGTGAAAGTAAATATGTTGGGCATTACTTTGTCACTCAGACAATAATTCTAAGTGTCACAATGCCGGACAGGACAAGGGGTTAAAAAAAATTAAAATTAAAAATAAAAAAATCCCTCCAGTGAGTCATGAGATATTTTGCTAACAAAAAAACTGGGTTGATCCAACAGCTAATGTCAAGATTTTGACATAAATATGTTGTTCAATGTGTGTGCACGCAAAATATGTTTTGAGGACAATGCACAGCTACTACTGCACCAATTACTAGATCAGTGTCTCTAAAACGGACTGGGTTATAACTAATTGTGTGTTTTCTATGGTCAGTTGGCTTTGTGCAGTTTTCATCAATGGTGTTGCCTCCAAAACATAAGCAATTGAAGATGTAAAGCCATCAAATTTTTTTTATATTCAATAAAATGTATCCAATGATTCAAGAAATATCCTGCTAACAAATAGAGTTGATTCAAATAGTTAAAGGCAAAGTTTTCAACACAAATCTTTTGTGAATAATCAGCACTCGGAGTATACGCTGGGGATCAGTCTCAACCATGAGTGTCAATAAAACTGAGCTACAGATAATTTTGTTCAATAAAATAGCCTTGCTGTGGCAACCATCTTGAAGTGGTTTGATTCCACAAATTGATTGGGTTAATCAACCAACCCAGTGGTTCCATTAAGATAATTTCATTCAAATCTGTCCATTGAGTCACAAAATATTCTTGGTCTGTTGCCTTCATACATCTCCTTTTACATGTCACTAACCTGTATAAATAAAGGTTGAATTGAAAAATTATTGCTAAGAGTAGAGACAAAGAAAGACACACGCATACTGACATAGGCAAAAATAAATACATAAATGATTTGCCTTCAACTTTGGCAGCAAGTGACAATTAAGAAGCACTACTTTTCATCATGTGCCACATCTCCCTCCTTTATTCTTAGTAGTAATAAACATATTTTTCACTACTGTGGAAACTCTGTTTTTATACATGTGAAGTAAATAAAAACTTTCAGCGATTGAGTCAGCAAAGAGTTACACTCATATGACATCCAAAACATTCTCCTGCTGTTTGCCTCAAGCAGGAAATTAGTTTAATCGGTCACGTCTGTCAGCAAAGATCCTTTCACTCCATCAGCTCTGAAGTTGGTGGGACTCAAGCTGCTGCAGTTTTATTTATACTTTTAAAACCAGCAGTGGAAATGTTTTCTTTTACACAGGAATAAAAGAGCTGACATTGTATTTGCTGGTGACACAAACCCATAAATCAATAGAAGGAGAAAAAAAAGGCATGACAATGTGCTGCAGTAACAATAGCACAATACTGTGAGGCCTGTCGGCCTATTATAGCTACATGTAAACACACACAGCAATAATTTTATTCGAGATTTAGATTTCTGTAGAGGCTTAATTGGGCCTTTTGTTACAAGAAAAGGCACATAGGCAAAAGACAGCATTGATACAGAGCTGCAATTTATCCTGATGGGGTTTCCGTTTCCAGGGGCTGTACATTGCATGGCTATTTCAATAAGAACCATTTGTCATTGTCATCTCCAGTGTGGATGAAATTGAAAAAATCCTGTCTGGGGCAGCTCCCACAACAGCCACAATCTGGTTGCAATATGTCAGGATTTATCTGCTCCACCTCAACGAATCAGCTAACACGGTCTGGTGAGACAGCTGGAAAGTTGACTCCTGACAGCTGCAAAAAAAAGAGGTGTTGAGGTCACTGTATAATACAGGCACATACTGAGGGAAAAAATAAAGTGAAAAATAAACAAATGATAAGAATAAAAAACAACATGGTAATATACCATACATAGAACTAGTGAGTATTGGAGGTGCATCAAAGCAACACTGCTAGCTGACAACTGTAAGCATACTAGACAAATTCCACTTGTTACAACTGAAAAACAGAATAAAACTAACAGCCCAGCATTCCTTTAAAGAATGACCATCACCCACTGCTTCCCACACCAACGATTTAAACTAAAATCAGCTAGATAGAACAAAAACCTTCTTCCACACTGAGTTTTTCTCAGCATATGTAAAACTGACAGTCATTTTTGTGTTGGCTAACATCGATTAGCGGGACGGTGGCGCAGTTAGTAGAGCTGTTGCCTCTCAGTGAGAAGGTCACTGGATCAAATCCCAACCGGAGAGCCTTTCTGGGTGGAGTTTGCATGTTCTCTCTGAGCATATGTGCATTTCTATGGGTACTCTGGTCTCCCACAGACCAAAAACATGCATGTTAGGCTGATTGGTAACTAAATTGTCCCTAGGTGTGAGTGAGAGAGTGAATGGTTGGTTGTCTCATTTGTCTCTATGTGTCCCTGTGGACACCTGTCAGAATGGAGACTGGAGACCCATCCAGGGTGTCCCCGGCCTCTCGCACAGCGACTGCTGGATATGGGCACCAGTGCCCCCATAACCCAGAAAGGAAGAAGCATGCAATGATAATGGATGAGTGGATAGATGGAACATCAATTAGCTGTGGCAACATGTTGAAATAGTATCAAGTTCAAGTTCTAGTTTCTTTATTGTCATTCACATCGCATGTGGTACATGAGGTGGAATGAAACTATGTATTCAAGGTCCCAGTTACATCCAAACATAGCAAAAATATAAAGTATAAAAAGAAACAGTATATAAGGATCTAAGATATATATTAAGCGATACGCTTAAAAGATCTAAGATATACGCTAAACACTAATAATATAAAATAATACAGTACTGTATATTCAACAGCAGCCCATCATGAGTCAGTAGTGAGTAGATGGTATGAATGGATAGAGCAGCATGAGATCAGGTTAACTGAGGTTGATGAGGTTGACTCTAAATATTAGTTAGTTTCAGAAGTGCATTATTACTTACTGAGAGTTTAACTAAAATCTGTGTAGTGGTTTATAAGAAATAATCTTGCTAACAGACAATGTTGATGCAGAGATATTACAAAAGTTTTAAGCAAACATACAGTATACGAAGCATGTGTTATAGTCATTATTTTGTTGGGTAATATTAATTAGTTGTGGTGGTGACTGGTGGCAAATCCAACATTTGAACAGTTGTAGATTTACATCCAGTGATTACTTTCTGGGAGTTTCATTAAAAATCCATTCAAGGCTTTATGAGATATTTTGCTAACGCTACATAAAATCAAACAAACACTGGCAACAACATGATGGCCTTTTTCTTTCAACAGTGTAACAAAAGCATCTTATAGTCAAATGTTCTGTTTGAGTCATCTGCTCAAATCTTAGTTCCTTCTCTCGTTTCTTCTCTTTCAGCCTTCTCAACAAAGCAAACCTACATCAGCTACAGCAACCACGCAATCTAAGGGACAAAGGTTCTTATCCACAATTCTAGATTTTCACCACGGCAGAGAGAGAGAGAAATATATCAAAATAAAACATGAAGTGGAATTTCACACAGCTTCAAAAAAAGGTTTCTCGTTGTGTGGGTGGTGATCACAGAAGCATTGCCCAAAGACGTGACATGCTGAGGAGAAACCACAAAGAAGGGCGGAGATGGACAAAAATGACCAGAACAGATAGATGTACAATTTTAGAGATTCCATCTTCTGTCAGCCAACAAAAAACACAGACAAAACAGAAAAATCCTTGCATGGGGGAAAAGGTGGAGACTGAAGGATGGAGCTATCTGTTGGAGTGTTTAAATTTGTCTCTAAAAGACTTGTGAGATTTTAAGCAGGGCAGAATGGAGCTGCACCTACATCAAGAATACGTTCAGGCATTTTCAATGTCATTTTAAAATGGCGTCACATGGGATAAATCAACTCCTATAAGGCATGAAAACATGGATTTCTTAAAGGGGCTTGCAGTTTTTATTCCTCAGTGCATTCCAGTCTCGCAAGTCAGACGAGTGGAAACGAGGATCATCTCAACAGCGCAGCAAACACGTGCTTGTCTTTTTCTGTCCTCTTCCAGGGTCCCGCTGCGCTGAGAAGAACCACAGCACTCATGACAAAGGATCTTTGCCAATTTTCAGCATGCCAGTTTCAACATCCTGTGTTGTGTTGTTTACCAAAAAAAAAAAAAAAAAGAAGAAGAAAGAAAAGAAAATAAATATTGGAATGCGTTTAAAACTCTGTTGCAGCGTTGTTAACAATTGTTTAGGCTCAAGCCTATTGTACGTTCAAAATTTGTTCTCAGTTGGTGAAGGTCTAGTGAGTGATTGTTTCTCTGTGCTTAAGTGAGATCATAATTTGTATTAAGAGCTAGCCAAAGGCTGCCACTGCCCTCCTCATACCTGTGCGTACTCTAAAGCAGCGGCTCGTGGTTGGAATAAACCGTGTTTTAACCAGGAGATGTCACTGTGAGCTGTCATCCAGGATGACCCTCTCATCACTGCCATCAGCAATTCTCTTGGTCACACAAGCAGATTGTAGGGTTGAAGCTTGGCTGTACAGATCCATTAGCAGGGGAATTAAGATGAAGAATGCCCTTGAGACGATCATGTGTTTCGTCCTGAGTGTGATATCCATAATGGCCCAGCTACTGAGAAAATTCATTAGTAAACGTGTCCTCTTCAGGCACTCTCGTGATAAGGTGTAGGGGAAGTTGTTAAGCTCTTTAACAAATGAACATCTAATTGCAAAATACTATATCGCTATCAATCAACCTGTGCTTGCTGAACTGATTAATGTTTGGCTTCCTGCAGCATAAAAGCTCATGACTTAGGGGGAAAAACGTTTGGGTAATCTGTGTTGTGAAGTCAGTGCTGCTTTTTGAAGCAGCCCGCGGTAGCCCCCCCCCCATCCAGCCCTATCACTTTCAACAACATTTGTGTTGCGGAATAAAACATGAGTGCTGACCAAATTCAATGGCAAGTTAATGTATGTTCTTAAATAGAGTGATGATGTCTGCTTTTTGTCCCGACATATCCGAAAACTGAGAAAAATGTACAAAAACATACAGTGCCTGGCTATCTGATTATGTATTTGTAAAACCTCATGACATCTAATGGTGTGTAAAGCATGTTTAATTTTTTTTATACAAAATTTATTATTTCTATTAAAATGTTTTCAAACTCCAAGTTCAGGCTTTTGTGAATCAGAGAAGACCTGTGGTGTGGACTTTATCATGTTTTCCTGCTATTTTTCAGAATGTTTTTTTTATCTGGTTATTCCTGATTATTGCATGTTGCTTTTGCCATTCATATATCAAAACATTCAGCTAATACAGGAGAGGGATGCCATGGTTTTTAATTTTCATAACTTTTATACTTTTAAAAATATTTTTTTACATTTACAAATGTTTTCCCCATAAAAATGCATAAAAAATGTCAGGAATTCCTTCAAAAACCATTGCCCTCTTTGAAATATACTGATCTACTTTCTTATTTCATCTAAATTATTCACCACTTATTTCACATAAAATGCAATCTACCTAGTCTTGTCTAATTTGTTTTAACATTTTATGAAAACAATTCTCTTACAATGTATTTTTGTCTGGATTTTATTTTGAATGCTGCTTGATTACAATCTAATTGACATATCAGCAGCAATTCTACAAACATGATGCATTTCTGTTGCTAAACAATATAGATTATGTGTTTCCATCTCAAAGAAAAGAAAACAATGTCTGCCGTTCTCTGAATAACATGTCACCATTGCACGGATAAAAGCATCAGAAGGACTGAGAGTTAATAGAAGGAAACATCCAATAATTTAAAATCAACAGCCATGCTTAAATCTAAGGACTAAAAATGTAACAAGCGTCCTGCAGCAGTTATCATCTCTACGCCTTCCTGAGATTGCAAGTGGGTGTTGATATTCCAACACCCACCATACAAAAGGCTTGAAAATAACAGTTGTTACATAGCAAGAGTGCTAAATGCATGCACAAAGTGCTAGATTACAGTAATATACATGGCGGAGTGTGCATTATCTTCCCACGGCACAATGAGGAGGCTGCTGAGGTTTGCTTTAGGAGATTACAGGGTTTGGAAATACACACTTCCCCTTATCCCTCTGTTTGTATTATTCTTTTTTCTTTAACATTTTTCATTAACAAATGTCACAATTTATAGTTTAAAAAAAAGAATTTAAGGCCTTGTCTTTGTATGAAAGATTGCATATTGCCTGCAGCCAGCTTAACTGGCATCAAAATCTGGATGAAGAACAATGTTCTCAAATTAAAACTGACAAAACTGACATTAGTCCAAACAGTGTTACCAAGTCCTCTCAAAACCTCTGTCTCAACTTTGACAACATCACTCTCACTTCATCCCCACTCAATCATAAACTTGGTATTCTTCTCGACTCCACTCTTTCATTCGAATCACACGTCAAACAGATAACTTGGACTGTATTCTTCCATATCAAAAACATAGCACGACTCCGCCCATCACTTACTTTCTCCACTGCTGAAATCCTAATCCATGCCTTTGGCACATCCAGAATCGACTATTGTAATAGCATTTTGTACAATACACCATCCAAAACTCTCAACAAACTGCAAAATATTCAAAACTCTGCTGCCCGCCGTCTCACCCACACCTGCTCCCGTGAACATATCACTCCTGTCCTGCAGTATCTCCAGTGGCTCCCCGTCACTCAGCGCATCCATTTCAGGATCCTCCTCATCACATTCAAAGCCCTCCATAATCTGGCCCCTCCATGACCGACCTACTCCATCCTGGTTGGAATAAACCGTGTTATTATTATCATTATTATTATATTTTTAATGCCAGAATTTAAACTAAAATTCTCTTGTGCTTAGAACGAATGGCATCATAGCAGTTTTAGTCATCTCGTGTAATATTGCAAAAAAACTTCCTAGATGTGATAGCTCTTAGAGAATGTGCAAACATGACCTGCAGAATGTCTGATGCAGAATAAAATGAGTATGACAATGCTTCTCCACCAAAATATGTAGAGGAAATGTTGGATTTGAAAAAAAGCACACATATTGTAAACATATGCATCAATCAGCCTGAATAATGAAACTACTGACAGGTGAAACAACCACATTGATTATCTTATTAAAGTGCACCATGTTCTGGCATCGATGGGGATATGTCTTAGTATTTACCACCCACCTAAAGATGCAGCAGAACTGCAGTCCTCCCCAGCAGGAGAAAGTGTAATTTTGCTTGTAAATCCACTCAGAAACAGCTTAAGGAGGATGCTGCAGTGTCCAGGGTGTTTCTTTAACCATTCCACAACACAGGTTGATCCAGGATCCACAGGATGAGCCAGATCCACAGAGATTCTGCCATGCAGTCCACAGGACCCAACAGGTCTGCTGCCAGCTTCTCGGTGCCAGACGTTACAGGTATGATGATGAGACTAATCAGCCTGAAACTCCAGTCATAAATTAGATTATCTCAGTAAGATTTTACAGTCAAGCTGTTTGCTGATAAAAATGTACAAAATCAGTGACTCAACACCAGGATAATGAAACTGCTGCTTGCAAACTTTTAATGAGAAAAAGCTGAAAGTATGTTTGTTAGAAATTAAATGAAGTCAACAAAATGGTGACTATTTCATGAGTCCCAACTAAGCTTAAACCTCAACCTTGTTAGATTTATCTGGATTATTGAGCATGCATCATGACACTATTGCATGAGTTTATGTTTCATGACATGAAAATTAATAGCATATTTTGTGTTTTGTTGTTCTTTGCTACCACTATTTGCCAATAATTGTCACTCATAATCATCAAAACCAGATGATTGGCAGAAAGATCTCTCCGGTCTCTCGTGTAAATGAGTCCTTAAGGCTCCATAAGATTAAATAAAGGTTAAATGAATGAAGATACAATAAAAAAGGGGCAGTTCCCCCAACAAAAACAGGAACCACATTCAGTAAACATTCATCTTTAAATTATTGGAAAAATTCAGAGAAGTTTTCTTTAAAAAAAATGAACATCCATAATTTTTTGAATGATGTTGGGGATGACTCTAAACCACTACTGTTTTAGTTCGTTATCTGTTAAAACGACTGAGTTATAGCCATTTTTGTGTTGGCTAATGTCGAGTAGCTGTGGATGTCATATTGGATTGTGCTGGCCCCAAAAGTGTTTCTATACTTTATGAAACACTATTTAAATTTGGCCTGTGGTTCATTAGAAATTACGGTAATAGTGGTAATTATAGTAAACACATACATATGAACAAAACATTATTGTCTGCCTTCATTTTTAACAGCAGGTAAAAAAAAGGTTCAGTCATAAAATACATTTTGTTTAGAATTATATTTTTTAAAAATCATATTTTTTAAACAAACTAGGAAAAAAAGAAACAAAAACAAACTTGTGAGATGAGTTGCTGAGATGACAGCGCTGTAAGTCCTCAGCTCACCTGGGATTTGAGTGTCTAAATGTAAGAATTTTGCTACAATGTGAGGAGCAAGCAACTGACTATGTGTTATTCCTCTAACAGCTGGTCTCTTTGTGCTTCAGCGAGTCTGAAAGCCAGCCATTTTCAAATATATAGGACAAGTTTTGATGCTGTTCAGCAGTGCATTGCCACAATACATTCAGGACCAAATTAGTTTGAGAATTTCTGCACAAGTATTGAAATGCTAAATGCAAAACATTCAGCACTGTTAATAAAGATTAGGAGATTAAATCAGTCAGAATGGGGCAAATACTTCTTCATACTGACTAAACTGATCACAACATGTGCAATTAAATATAAAAACATATTATTGCAGATGTGTAAACTGATGGTCACATGATCACAAAAAGACAGACTGAACTGAGTCTGTCCTTTACACCTGCATTACAGAACTGCATTGAGTATATCTGGGAAACAACTGCAGTAAACTGTTTCAGACTGCACACTGTGGTATAGTTCAATGCAAGGAGTACCTTTAACACAGAGTTTGTAGAATATCCATTAAATACAGAGTGAGTGATGGTGAAGTTGTTAATCCTGTTGAATGTTAAACATTTTTTACATCTGTCACTAGCACAACTGAAGAACTTCCAAGTCTAAACTTGCCAATGCTAACATTTCTTGGAGCAAGAAAGTTCTCATAAAGTATTTTAATTCAGTTTTAACTACAAGGTAGAAAAAACTATTTTTAATTTATC